CACACACACACACACACACACACACACACACACACACACACACACATTCCTTTCTCTGCCCACCTGCTTTTCCCTTCTTCTCCCTTTCTCTCTCACACACACACACAATATCTTTTTCTCTCTTGGTCCTCACATCTCCCCTCTTCTTTGCCCTCAATCTCCAATACCCTCCTCTCCTTACATCTCCTCTCTCTCTTCAGTACATACATAGGCACAGACACATGCACATAAACCTCTCTCATCTGCCTGTACTGTATATCTTTCTCTCTCTTGCACTCCACCTCTCCCTTCCTCTTTTAAGTTGCCATTGTCTTTGATCCCCCTCTCCTTTCGCCTCCCTCTCCCTACAACTCCTCTCTCTCTTTCACTACGCACATAGGCACACACATGCATGCAAACACAACCACCAGGCACACACATGCATGCAAACACATGCACCCTGTCCGATGGCTGACAATGTGCGAGGAGGATTGAATGCATCATTCATTGCTCCACCCATGCCCCAAGTTGCCTTCCAATAACCAGCATGGTCTTTTTTTTTTTTTTTTTTTTTTTTTTTGGGGGGGGGGGGGGACGGGGGTTTAGGGCAAGGTTAGTTGGGGGTTGCCACACTATTAACCGGGGTGAAACGTGCGTCTTCAATCAACAGGGATTATACTGAAGAAAAATGTGATAATGCAACCTTGTTCTTTTCATTTTCTGCCCTCAGGTTTTCACACTGTGCAAAGTTTCTCAGTCACTTAGTATTTTTCATGTGAAAAAATAAAATAAAAAATAAAAGTAAAAAAATGTTTAAAAATCATAGACTGAGAACTCTGCTGTTTTCTGAGTTTTGCCGCTGGATTGTGTGCCTCGCTGAGATTCCCGCTTTCTGCGGAGATTTCTAAGACTGTGTGTGTGCATGTTTGCTGAGTTTCCCGTGTGATCGTCTGAGTGCATGACTGCTTGGGTGTGCGTGTGTGACCCGCCAGGGTACTTGTACACGCTGGGAAGGCCCTCCGGCCTGGTACTTACCTGTGGCCGTGCCCTTTGTGGGTTGCGGCGGCGTGTAGCGGTAGGCCAGGCCCGCGTAGAAGGAAAACAATCAAGTAGCGAGTAGGCTCGGCCTGCGTAGGATTGAAAAAACTTAGAGTAGCAGGTACTTACTCAGAATTAGGACAAAATGTTAGTACCTGTAGAGGCCAAAGGGATTTTAGAGTCCGGTAGGCTTAGGTCTAGGGGTACCCGTCCAGTAGTCCGAGTCTAGGGTCTGTCCTGCAATGATGTTTCACTCCGAAAGGAGGCAGGTACCGGTAGTTTAGGAGGCCGAGCCGCCTGGAAGGTCACCGCCCAAGGAGGCAGCTGCCCGATTTATCTTCGGTAAAAGAGAAGTGCTGCTCCTCATTTTGCAGTGTGCAAGTTTGGCATCACGTTGCTGGAGCGAGCGCTGGTGTTCCAGCGCTAGGCAGGAAGAAAAGCAGCCTGGCCCCTCCACTTCAGCTATGGTGGAGCAGACCAGGAAGGAAGGCTCCGGGGTGTAGGAGGAGGAGGAAGAAGGTGAGCAAGGAGGAGAGTGGCACGGTGCTTACCTGGCTATGGTGGATGGCATCTTCATCTTCTTGGTTGGCGCTGCGCCTAGACGACCCCATAGGGGGTTGACTTCATCAAGGAAGACTTCAGGGCGGAGATAGGCGTGGTGGCCATAGTAGAGAGGGCACATCAGCTTTGCATTTTGAAGTCGCCTGTACGTCGTCGACTAATGACCAGAGAAAAAAAAAAATGCATATACATCATACTTGCGGCGCACCAGTGCGGTGCGCCACGCGGTGCGGTGTGCCTTGCGCTGTGCGCGGCTCTGAGATGCGAGCGCACGTGTGCAGACCGCGCACAAAAAGCGTACAGGCACAGCGCACTGTGCAGGGCGCAACTTCACTGGTGCGCCACTGGTGCGCCAGCCTTCTTTTTTTTTTTGTTGTTGTTGTTGTTGTGTGTGTGTGTGTGTGTGTGTGTAGTGCAGGGCAGCTACCGTCGTAAACTTTGATCCGAGTTCCCGACCTCCAACCAAGTTCCCGCCCTGTATGGAGGGCATTGTTGCCCCAAATGTATCCTACTCTACTATCAGGTATTGGCAGTGTCAGAAGAACGCCAAAAGACAACTATGTCTAAAAAAACAAAAGCAAAAAAAAAACAAAAAAACAGCCCGGGGGTCATCTCGTATCTCCTACTGACACTACCTTCTTCCCCCGAATAGAACATTCGGTCATTATAGCTGTATCTGAGGCATCCTTCCGTCTAGATACAGCTATAATGACTGTACGTTGTATTCGAGGGAGGAAGGTAGGATTTTTCTGACGGCAATGATGCCTGGAATCACGCCCGTAGCTGAGTCTAGAAGGGTCTTAGGGCGTCGCTGCACTACTCCGGAAATGTACAAAAGACAAAAAACATGGCATGTATATTTCCTTGTTCTAGGGGAAGATTCACTCTCGTTTTGCACATTTCGAGAGTGGTGGAGCGAGGCCCATTGTCAGGAGTGAGTCTAGAAGGGTCTTTTCTTTTTTTTTTTTTTTTTCCATGCTAATCTTCTCTGTATCGTTCCAATTTTAACGGATGTCCCGAAGGACCTAGAAGGGTCTTAGGGCGTCGCTGCACTCCTCCGGAAATGCACAAAAAACAAAAAACATGGCGTTTTGCACATTCCAATGTATATTCCCTTGTTCTAGGGGAAGATTCACTCTCGTTTTGCACATTTCGAGAGTGGTGGAGCGAGGCCCATTGTCAGGTGTTTCCGTTGTCCAAAAACGGGAAGCGAGGCCCATTGTCAGGAGTATCCGTTGTCCAAAAACGGAGCCATGCCCCATGAGGATGGGCCTCGCTCCAGTACTCTCGAAATGTGCGAAACGAGAGTGAATCTTCCGCTAGAACATGGATACATACACCGCCATGATTTTTGTCTTTTGTGCATTTCGAGAGTAGTGGAGCGAGGCCCCATGTCACGGACGTTCTCTCTCTTTTTTTTTTTTAGCAAAGCCACCAAGGAAACACAACTGTCAGTTTTGTCGTTTTCTATATCTGGAAGTAATGCGAGGAAAGCAACGGTTCCACAGACGCATCCTCATCATGATTGTATTGGACCTCTGAAAGGACTCGGATACATTGGAGATAGCATCGAGTACAGCAAACATGACGACACACTGAGTTTTTGGGGCTGCGCGGCCCTAAAAAAAAATCTGCGCGGGCGATGTCCGAATTTTAGCTGGGAGTGGGAACTTCGATTCACCCTCTCCCCAACTCTTTTTTTTTTTTGGTTGACCCCGAATTTTGCCCATGCGGCGCACCGGGTGTGCGCGCCACGTGCGCAATGCGCAGTGCGCCGCATGTGCGGGAGTGGCGTGCATGGGATGTGCCGCAAGTATGATATACATATATCGTCACACAGAGCTGCCCAGTAAACTGTAGGCAGAGAGGGAGAAGAGGACAACAAACAAGGGGCTGTGACAAACTGTTTCGTCGGAGTTTCACCGACTCATCAAATACATGTAGTCAAACAGAGTTGCCCGGTAAACCGTAGGCAGAGAGGGAGAAGAGGACAACAAACGAGGGGCTGTGACAAACTGTTTCTTCGGAGTTTCACCGACTCATCAAGAGGTTGAACCCTCAACAGTCTGCAGAATCCCCTAACTGATTACATTGTACGTGATAATCCACCTTAACCCCGACTGTGGTTAAGCATCAACGACTGCCCAACAAGTGATATATATATATACGACATATACGATATATCACAGCCCCTCGTTTGTTGTCCTTTTCTCTCTCTCTGCCTAAGGTTTACCRGGCAGTTCTGTTTGTGACGATATATATATATCGTCACAAACAGAACTGCCCGGTAAACCGTAGGCAGAGAGAGAGAAGAGGACAACAATATATATATATATATATCGTCATAAATATATATGTATATATATATATATTGTCACATTGTGAATCAGAGCGCAAAAAAGGGAAAAGAAAAAAGGAAAAGGAAAAAAGGGAAAGGGAAGGAGGTAAGGAAAGCT